ACTGATTATTTTGCAGTTGGTTTTCTTGTTTTTTTTTTTTTCTCATTTAAGTTTCTTTGAAATTGTTACTGATCGGTGTGAACAATAAAAGCTTTTGTAAGTTTTGTTGTGTGTAAAATGTCTTAGAAGAGAACAATAACTTAAGGCACAACGTTTTTCTGCCATTTTGGTGAAATAAGCTCAAGCAAACAGTTAAAGTGTTTGTTCGAATTGGGCAATGATGAAATAAATGATATATAATATAATGCATTTTTTTTTTGCAAATGTTTTTCTTGTTTTTTTATCCCATGTAAGTTCCTTTGAAATCTTTATTGATTGGTGTGTATAATTACATCTTTTTTGTTAGTTTTTTTGTGTGTAAAATATCTTAGAAGAGAACAATCATTTAAGGTGCAGTTTTTCTGCCATTGTAGTGAAATAAGGTCAAGCAGACAGTGAAAGTGTTTGTGCAAAATGGAAGATGTTAATAATTTTTATTCAACCTGTTTTTAATCAGGAATTTATGTTTTGCGTTCAACCAATCTTTTGGCTAAACCAACCAATCTAATTTGGCAGTGTTTTTACCTAATCTATATTTGTACCAGGGCAAACCAATACAAAGTAGTAAAATACCGAGATGTGGAAGTTCATCTCTTTCAGCTGACGCCACTAGCAAGCCGATAGTTCTTTAGAAAGCAATACTACTTAAAACCCATTACAACTGTGTCCAGTGGCTTGCTCAGTTTTTGATCATTGTTTAATCAAACCAAACTAGTTTTAACCAACTAGATTGGTTGTTTTTCCAACCAATCTATTCTTAGAATCTATCCAAACTCTATCCACCTGACAGCAACTTTCCTACAAACTCCCACATCTTGACTGAAAACCGAGGCTGTTTAAATGTCTCTTGAAGTTCTTGTGCTTTCTGAACCACTTCCTGAAGTGGTCACCTGGTATCACCGTAGCGAGACTTCGGACGTCATGAATTTTGGCCCCCATGGGTGAGGGTTTTGCCCCCTCACTCAGCTCCCTCTTCACCACAACAATCCGATACAGCGACCGCATCACTGCCGACGCCGCACCGATTCGTCTATCGATCTCACGCCCCATCAGTCCCTCACTCGTGAACTAGACCCCAATATACTTGAACTCCTTCACTTGAGACAAGTTTTAACAATTGTATTTTGTTAAAATATAATATTAATAAAATGCAGCTAGAAAATAAAATAAAACCATTAGACTTATTCAATGGTGAATATAGTGACCTTACTTTATATGTATACATAAATTAAGAGAATACATTTTTAGGGGGTCAGCAGTCGTTGTTTTTGGGGTCACAGGCTGAAATGTTTTTGAACTCAGCTGCATCCAGTGAAACTAAAGCTGTTTGACTTTTTGGTTCTAACTGCAGACTTAATGTAACATGTGGTGCGTCGATTCCCAAACTTTACCTGCTGGCCCCCGTTTACTTTCAAAAAATTATTTTGCTCTTACTTGCCCTGGGGGCCTGAAGCAGTCACTTAGTTCACTTATACCTATGGCCGGTGTTCCGTCAGACCAGCATGTGTATATTCAAGACGCAAGACGTCAGATTTGTGCTTATTCCTTTACTCATGTAAAAAAAAAAAATATTTCAAGGGAAGACCACCATATACTCAAAAAACACAAAAAAGTAAGTAATTAAATTGTTTTTTGTACATGACTTAAGGGATACACGCCTCTTAAAGTAGTTTAAAGTCTATTTTTTGTACAAAACTAAAGGGATAAACTGGTATTGACTATGGGTATGCTGGTCTGACTGGGTATGCTGGTCTGACAGAACAGCGACCGTAATGTCAGCTCACCAGCCGACAGATAGAGGGAAAAAAACCTGCTTTACAAACGTGATTAGTTGGAAATCATTTATCTCTGAGGCAATTTCCTGTCAAGAAGAAAGAAAAACTCCAGTTGAGCAACAGTGTGAAGCAGAGGGGAGTAACAACCCCTCAACATTTCACTCATCTAATAGAAGCACTACTTTAATGTTTTGTTACTCAAGTAAAAAAAAACGTTAAAAAAGTCTGTTAAAGGGATATAAAAGCACTGGGTAACTGTTGGCTTCTAACCTCTGGTGAAATGGTTAAGATGATGTAATCAGGCAGACAGTTATGAGCAAATTGTGGTATTTTAAAGAAGAGTTGACTGGGGAACAATCAGAAACATTTTATTTGATGACATCGACGCATCACATGTTCACTATTCAATTCAGTTTGAATTCAATTCAGTTTATTTCTATAGCGCCAATTCGCAACACATGTCATCTCAAGGCGCTTTACAGTTCACCAGATCATACAGTGAAATTGATTGAAAGTTTTCTACCTAATTGCATCGACTCATTGACTCGAATGCAATCCCTCACACTAAGCATGCTTCTAGGGACAGTGGAGAGGAAAAACTCCCTTTAAACAGTAAGCAACTTCCAGCATAACCAGGCTCAGTGTGAGCGGCCATCTGCTGAGGCCCACTGGGGTTCAAGGAGACAGAAGCAGAGATAGAAAAGGCAACTGTCAACCAGCTCCTCAGGCGGCCCCGTTCAGGAAACACAGCTGGCAGATGAGCTCAGAGGATGAAGAGAGCACATCCACTCAGTCACAGTCAGAGAAACAGGACTACACTGAAAAACAGGCAGATCTCAAACATCGATTAACAAAGGTGTTGATGGCAGCAGCAAATAGGTTAACTGTGTTGTCCGACATTGGATGAGGGGTTGTAGACAGCCAACAAATTCATCAAACTGACACACGGACATCCACAATCCTAGCTAGTTGGTGATTGTCCCTCTTGCATTGTGTCGTGTGTTAGATTTAAAAATTGTAAGTTCATATAGGATAAAAATGAATCTGACACACAAAGGGATTTTCAAACACAGCTTCCCGCAG